ATATATAGTTCCCGCGGGGGCAGTGAGAGAGTTTATCAATACTTGTCAGAACGCAGAGGGACCAGTGCATTTCAAGTGGGTAGGTAGGCGATGACTGTGATAGATGGCAAAATCGATGATGGCTGTTTTATTGTGTAACAACTGCTGTGTCGGACACTGCCTTATTTTAAAAGGGCATCCCTGGTCCTTCCCCAGTTTAGGGTGTGCTTTACAGGACAGCGTGAAACACCAGTTTAGAATACTCTTAGCTCTCACATATCCCCCCAGGCCCCATCCCCACAATGCCACCTTAGAAAACAAAGAATCTAAAAATATTAGGATATACTAGTATTCCCAGAAGTGGGATCGCTGAGCAAAATGAATTGACCAACAAAATAAGACCCAAAGAATGGAGGCATAGAACAGACTAACATACCTCAGTGTGCGGTTGGGAGGACAAGAAGAGATAAACCAAAGAACTTATATACTAATAGGCATAGCCCATGGACACGGGCAATAGGGTAGTGAGGATCTGGGGCTGTTAGGGGCTGGGAGGAGGGAGGGAAGGGAGGAAGAGGGGGAGATATCTATAATACTATCAACAATAAACATATATTAAAATAAAAATATTAAATTCACAACACATATCTGTTAAAAGGCCAGAGTGTGGCCTTCATCGGAAAAGAAATGGAATTCAGCTCAGTGATAACTCTTGCCAAGTTCTGGAATGATCAGCTTTGACACAAAGCTTTCGGGAGGAGACAAACATAGTCAGTCTGAATTTTATAATTGGGAAAATTGAATCCAAATCCAGGTTTCATGTCTATACACTTCAGATGCCTTCTCATAGCCTTCAGACTCTCATGATAAGATGATGGCATATTTTTTTTTACAATTCTTGATTTTTAGTGAATGTACAAGTTGTGCAACCATCATATGAGGTCGTTTTCCATAGAACTTTATTCCTGGCCTATTTGGGAGAGAAATCATCTATACACGTTGATTGTATAGTACTAGGTACTCTTTAGGTGTGTTGTCTTTTCTTTGTAAAAGTGACGCATAATCATTAGAAGCACACAGTGTAGAACCCGGCAACCTGGCTTCAAATTCGTTTGGCCACGGGCTGTGCCACCTTGAATACCCTAGGTGCCCAAGCCTTAGAGTTGTGATGAGTATCAAATGAGTCAATACATGTAAAGTTCTTAGGGCAGAACCTGGCTCATAGTATGTGCTATGTATTTCTTTGGTCTTATTCATCACATTTCCCTGATGAGGAAGGAAAGCAGAGGAAAACTACCTGTGTCACAAACCCTGTGTCACAAACCTAATGAGACCGAGGACGAGCTGAACAAGGTTTATCTCCCAGCATTGTCCTTCAGGATATGGCCCCTGAAAAATCAGATATTTTAAATAAAGTGCATTGTTTAGATGTCCTTCCTGAAGATTGCTTGAAGTCTCTAGACTATGTGTAACTATAATCGCATTAATATTACTAAAAAACTATATATGTTATGCCTAATACAACTCCCTCACATTTTATTTACGTAACATATATTTATTGAGCATCTACTATATACCAGACACTCTACTGGATACATTAAAGAGTAAAGAAATAAGTAATACATGGCTCCTGCTTTAAGGTTGCATACTCAGTTGTACTGTAGCAAACACCACCATTGACGATGACAAGCCTGGATTGATTGTCTAAAACCCATGTGACCCAGAACCCATTCCCCAGTACATAGGGCTTATTTTTGCAATAATTAAGGTCAGTGTTCATAGAACATTGATAGAAAACCATTTTGAGAGTTTCATATGATCACAAAGGAAAAAGTGATTGACCACTACTTTCTCTATGTATATCTTTATTTTAATGTTTTACTTAAAACTTTTAGTAACTTGAACAAGATATGCCCCCAAACAAGCTACTGTGTTTTTGCCAGTCTTTTAATCTTACAATTATTATTAAAAATGAAACTGAACTAGTTTCTTTCTGAAGAAAACTCTGACATAGCATGGCATTATTTATATACTGATACTAGAGGCCCGGTGCACGAAATTCGTGCACGGAGGGGGGGGGGTGTCCCTCAACCCAGCCTGCACCCTCTCCAATCTGGTACCCCTCAGGGGATGTCCAACTGCCGCTTTAGGTCAGATCCCTTAGGCAGTCAGACATCCCTCTCACAATCTGGGACCACTGGCTCCTAACCAATCACCTGCCTGCCTGCCTGATTGCCCCTAACCACTCCTGTCTGCCAGCCTGATCGCCCCCTAACCGCTCCCCTGCTGGCCTGATTGACGTCTAACTGCTCCCCTGCTGGCCTGATCGCCCCCAACTGCCCTCCCCTGCTGGCCAGGTTGTCCCCAACTGCCCTGTCCTGCCCTGCCGGCCTTATCTCGCCCCCAACTGCCCTCCCCTGCTGGCCTGGTGGTGCCCCCAACTGCCCTGTCCTACTGACCTGGTCGCCCCCAACAGCCCTCCCCTGCTGGCCTGGTCACCCCAATGGCCCTCCCCTGCTGGCCTGATCACTCCCAACTGCCCTCCCCTGCCGGCCTGATCGCCCCTAACCCCCTGTGAGCCTAATCTCGCCCCTGACTGCTCTGCCCTGCCAGTCTGATCTCACCCCTAACTGCCTCTGCCTCGGCCCCCACCACCATGGCTTTGTCCAGAAGAAAGTTGGACATCTGGAAGATGGCCAGCTGACCCGGTCTAATTAGCATATTACCCTTTTATTAGTCTAGACCAGGGGTGGGCAAACTTTTTGACTCGAGGGCCACAATAGGTTCTTAAACTGGACCGGAGGGCCGGAACAAAAGCATGGATGGAGTGTTTGTGTGAACTAATATAAATTCAAAGTAAACATCATTACATAAAAGGGTACGGTCTTTTTTTTTTTTTTTAGTTTTATTCATTTCAAACAGGCTGGATCCGGCCTGCGGGCCATAGTTTGCCCACGGCTGGTCTAGACGATACTAATATCTAACATTTAACTTTGTTCTTTCCATATGCTGGATGCTTTGCTCTGCATTAAAAAAAAAATCATTCTCTATAGACCTCCCATTAATTATAAGAGGAATAAATATTTACTAACATTTACTGAAGAGAAAACTGAAATTTATTGGCAATTAAGTAACTTATCTAAAGTCAAAAATTTAATAAATTCAAGACCTGGATTTAAATCCAGGTTTACCTGACATCAAAATCTGTATGCTTAACCACTAGTTGATATTTCTACTCAGCATATCCCCTTAGAAAACCGTCATATTTAAGACAACTAAGAGTTGCAATGCAAATTTATTTAGAAAACAATGTCCTTGTATAGCGTTTTTAAATGTTGATTTTAGTGGGATAGTAAATGTGTAGAAGGCAAAAATATTGATTTTTATATCTAACATTTTTGAAAGATGACATTTGAGACAGGTTATCAAAGATCCCTGTACACAGGGGCTCCTTTAACCACTTAAAATAGAGAACTTCAGGTGTTTTCACAGTTCTGCAAAATGCTTTATATTGTTGTCAAATCACAAAATCTATTTTATGCAGGAAAAAAACGGAAAAGATTAGACTTCTGTGGTGAGAAGCATTGAGCAGAAATGTCAATACATTCTTCTGTTATTTCCCAGGCTTGACCTGTTAGCAAATCTAAATATCAGCTCCTGGGAATTTAAGGAAACACCTTGTGTAGAGAATATTCGGTATTCACAATCTCTCTAACATATGCTCTGATATTTCCATTTTTGAGCCTTTTTAAAAAAGTCTTTGCAGTCAAAACACTATTATATTAATTCTGTCATATTCACTATTTCCTTTTGGGCCCAATTCGCATTATGCCCTCTTTTGCATCTATACTGAAAGGTGAGTATCTTCCCAACATGCACTGTGTCTTGATCCTGTTTTCTTCGTGGGTCCTGTTCTCGTCTTTGCTGACTGCAGCACTCCTGTGAGATGTACAGCCCCACTTCACAGCCACACAGCACCTACGTACTGATCGCACCCAAGTTCATCCTATTCCCAATCCTCACGGTTCATTGACCTCAGTTTTTAACCATTTTGTGACTTTTCATAAGCCCCCTCAAACTTTCTGGAATAATTGCTGGACCCAGCCCTACAAAGTTATAGAAGAGAAACTGAAGAACCACTGACAGCACTAGACTCCTAGATACAACTATGTTACGCTTTCTGTTTAATCTGCATTCCCTCCTCTTCACTAAACGTAGATTTCTTCCCAGGAGTATCATTTGATGGGTGGCCTTCTGAAAACTGCAAATAAAGTAAGAGTATATCATCAATTAACACATTTTAAAAAGTGCAGCCCAGTCAGTGTGGCTCAGTGGTTGAGCATTGATCCATGAACCAAGAGGTCACTGGTTCAATTCCTGGTCAGGGCACATGCCCAGGTTGTGGGCTTGATCCACAGTAAGGGTTGTACAGGAGGCAGCTGATCAGTGATTCTCTCTCATCATTGATGTTTCTCTCTTTATATCTCTCTCACTTCCCCTCTCTCTAACGATCAATATAAACTTTTTTTTTAAGTACAGTGATCCTACCACCTTGGTTCTTCCTGTATTCATGTGTATGTTTGGTTCTAATGTCTTATGTGCAGAGTGAAGAGAGCAGAGGCAATTATCTCCTAACATTAGGGTATGTAGGAGGTATCTGATGCAGGTGTAGGTTCCTTGTCTTGTAAATGGAATGTTTGTGGCATTTTAAAGCAAATACATCAAGTGTCTTTTTAATTTCTATATATTAGGAGAAAATAACTGGATAATGATAAAATGTACTCATCTCCACTTCTCCCAATGGAAGAACAAGCTTCTATCTTTCCTAGGAATAGAAATTTTATCACCTTGAACATATATTTTATTTTTAAATCAACCAATGTTTTTTTATCTTTATTCATGTTAGATAGGAGTATGTTCTCCCAAGAAGTGCTTATTGGATTTGTGTTGTAACTTCTTTTCTTTAATATGAAGAACATGGAGGCACCATCTAAGTTTTGTTTTTGTTTGTTTGCGTGTAGCGTGGAGACGATCAATGATGGAAACTTCCACATTGTGGAGCTACTTGCCCTGGACCAGAGTCTCTCCCTCTCCGTGGATGGAGGGAGCCCCAAAATCATCACCAACTTGTCAAAGCAGTCCACTCTGAATTTTGACTCCCCACTCTATGTAGGAGGTAAGCACTCTTCCAAATCCAGTGGGTTTTGATATCTGATTGTCATCAAAGCCTGATTCTGAAGTTTGTTGGCGCCTGGTCCCATGGTCATTGACCAGTACTGCTCCATCCCTGAAAGACAGCAAGGATAGAAAAGAAAGAGCCCAAATAAGCTGTTAAGGGACCATTTGTAATCCCAGCTCTGGTGTTAACTAAACGGGTCATTGGGGTGGAGAAGAACATTGGTATTTCTTTGTATCTTATCACATGCTAGGTGATTTACACACTATAGAAATTCATCTTATTATTTAATCTGGTCTATGGAAAAAGGAAGTGGTGAGAGGACAAATCAGACAATGAAAAAAATGACAAAACAGGTTTGATGCACAGTGTGGAGTGCATGACCTCACCGCAGGTCCCTTGAGGAAGTGAACATATTACCATGCTGGAATGTCTGGGCCACCAGTGGCTAACTCATCAGATGACAGGATAATTACTAATGAAATTGAATGAATTAATGAATGAATGAATGAGTGAATGAATAAATGAATGAGTTAAATGTACAAATTGCATTGGGGTAATAGAAAGTATTTTTGTTTAGCTGTGACCTTAATGTGGGTGAACAAGAGAGAGGGTTGGGAAGGCAGATGATTCGGGCTTAGAGTGATAAAGACTCTGGACTTCTTTTTAAGCAAGAAGAAGTCAGATGAGTAAATAGGTGAGGAAGGAAGTATCAGCAAAATTCTGAAGGAGCCCAGAGGAGAGGATCCACAAAAGAGAGAGCGTCCACTCTTGCCTCTATCTGGAGGAGCCAATATAAACTGAAGACATAGAATTTCAAATTTTAGGCAAAGGAGCATGTGATGTTGAACTGAATGAAGTCACATTGGATTGAGTGATGTGGCTTGACTGATAAAATTACTTTACAGATAAATAAGCTAAGCTTTTCAACAGGTCAATGTAACTGATTTCTTCACCATGACAGGTAATTTCACGAAGTTCGACTCATTCCTTTCAAAATAGTAGTAACCGTTGGCTGCTGCACAATGTCCTCAACCCCTCAAACCCTTCCTGGACAGCTTTGTTTGGAATTGTGCTGAACGTCCAGAACACTTTTGTTTTTAATAATTTCTGCAATAGAAAATCTTAGCACTTATATAGAAAGTTAAAAGTCTTTGGTTCCATTCTGTAAATATTTATTGAGCATCTCCCATGTTCTGAAAACTAAGTTATTACATTTTTCAGAGATCTGGAGTTGAGAAAGAATCTCTTCTGTGCCCACAGGCGTGGGGAAGGCAGGCACATTTTCAAGTAATCAAATGTCTCACCTGTTAAGTCTGTGCAGCAAGTTGACTGATGTAGTTGCTTCATAGGAATCACAACTATGAGGTTCATTAAAAGACAGAGCCTTCTCTTTGGCCTGGACTACAGTTAACAGCTGTTGCCTTGGGATGGACAAAGCAAGTCACAGAGGTACCTGAGATGGGAGAGAAATCATATTTACTAAGCACATGCTATGTGCCCAACACAATGCTTCTTTGATAGTCTTATTCCTCAGAGACTTTAGGAAGTGCAAGGGTAATTCAGATGAAAGAAATACAAGGTGATGGTAGAACCGCAGCCCTGAATGCTCCATGGCCAAGGCAGGAGGACCGGGTTAGCCAAGGAGAGCCAGGTAAACAAGCTGCCCTCTCTCTCCTGGTTTGAAAATAGGGACACACCTCAAAGATGACACCATGCCTTGGGCCCTGTGCAGGAACATTGTCTATCAAAAGTGGGAGGCAGCTTTACCTTCCCTTGGGTCATCAGTTACCCATGATATAGACCTTGCTCCATATAAAACAGTCTAATCTTTACACTTTTCTGTATAATAATCAGAACATGTAGCATTGTTTGATGGGATTAAAAAACAATAGTTAAGACCTGCACATAAAGACCCCTCCATTGTGTCACAATCTCCTAATGCCACAGAGGACGTCAGCTTTGACACTTGATCCCTTTGTTGTCATTTTAAAACATGTAGAGTTTATTAAGGCTAAAACTGTCTACTAAGTTATCGGTTGACTGATAGATTGATTGACCTCCAGCTATAGCCCATGGCATGGAAGAAAGACTAAAACAACACAGGGATCTACTTCTGCTTATCATTTAAGACCTAGTTCCCTAGTCAGAACTGTGGCAGGTATGCGAAAGGTTGACTCAGAATACTTCTTCATTGTATCATGTCCTATTGAAAGTAAATGCATGTGTGATGGATCTGCATTTACAATTCACTATGATCAAAGCTGGACTTTTTACAGTTGTTAGCTTTGGGAATAAAAGGAACACACTTCCTAATTGTCCCTGCTGAGGAACATCACCAGTCAGTAATTTAACCTTGACACATGCATAAATGGACATTAAAATCCACACATATGTGATGGACAGATAAAAGTGAATTAAAAGAACTTACCCCAGAGCAAGGAATTTCCTGTCATGGTCCTCTCCTGGAAATGGCAGGCTTTGGCCTTCTGACCCGACTCTACACTGCAGGCCAGTCTCCAAGGCCAGATGGACATAGACTAAAAGCCTGAACTCATGGAACTTCAAAGCCAAGTGCATAGTTCAGTACCCATCAAAGTGTGATGGGGAAGCACCTGCATCAGAATCACCTGAGTTGCAGGTTAACATTTAAATCCCTGCATGACACACCTTCCTGCTGAGTCAGAATCTCAGGGAAGGGAGAGAAGGGGGTTGGGGCACCGCCTTCCGGGCATGCGCTTCTGGTGGTTCTTATGTATGACCAGCTTGGAAACAACTGTTTTAGTCCATCCATTCATGTTGTAGATGAGAAAACCAAGCCCTAGACCAGCCCAAATGCACCCAGAACCAACAATAAAGACTTCGACCTCTAGCCTTGTGATGCTGTGCACTTAGCTGTCTGACTCTGGCTCCTTTGAATGGGAAAGTTGATGATGCCATGAGGCAGGGCCCAGGGAGTACTCAGGTTCTTGGTCTTTGTAACCATTGAACCCCCTAGAAAGTGAGAGCCAGGGCTTTCCCCTCTTGAACCCTCCAGACAGGAGCTCAGAGTCCAGGCACAAGGAGGACATGCCAGCGGGAAATCAGCTTCTCTGTGAGCCTCCACCGTCCTCCCCTTCTCCCACCGCGACCTGGACAGTTGCCTCCTGTGGATCTCATCCAGGAGCTATTTCGGGGTCTGGCCTAGGCTGTGGAAAGATTCCTCAGTGTTGCCAAATGTGGGTTACTCCATGACTGTCACTAGTGGAATGAATATATACAGAGATTGCTAATTCTGTGTTTGGAGGAATTTCTTTTGTATTTCCGATGTCTTGGAATAGGATGGTTTCCCTCTCAATTAGCAAGAAAAACAATGATGTGAATGAGGTGCTGTCCTGACAGGAAGCATGGCGAGTGTCTGAGGCCCTGGCATCCACGCTGTGCTCCAGATGTTACCAGCGGTGACCTGGATTAGTTGCTAGCTTAGAATTTGGCAGGACCAGGGTCACAGTCACTGTGGACCCCCAGCTCTCACCCTCTGAATCCGGATGGACTGAACTGTGATGAGAGATTGCAGAGGTTCATCTCGTCGGCCTGACTCGAACTCAGTCCTGCTGGGTGACATTGAGTAGACCCTTGGGCCTTGGGCCTTTTGTCTTTAAGAGGCAGGATTAGTCAGAGATTACTAACCTTGCTTTGTGGAACTCCAGGCTTCCAGGGGGTGTGTCCAGGTAGAGGGGTTGAGTGTGGAGATGGGAGAGAGCACTACCCCCACCACCTTCCCAATCCTGCCTTTTGGGAACAGTAGCTCGGCTTTTATGTTTTATATATGTATGCCTTCATGTCAGGTTTGGTTTGAAACAAATATTAAAAATTGAAGATTGACCATCAATGAACTAGGTCCTTTCTCTAGTTGTACATTAAAATTGCCCAGAGTATTTTCTTAAAAAAGAGAAGCAGAGAACACGCATCTCTCCCTACTGGTATGGCTCAGTGGTTGAGTTGTAAACCTATGAACCAGGAGGTCATGGTTCGATTCCCAGTCAAGGTACATGCCCGGGTTGCAGGCTCCATCCCCAGTGTGGGGCATGCAGGAGGCAGCTGATCAGTGATTCTCGCTCATTGTTGATGTTTCTATCTTTCTCCCTCTCTCTTCCTCTCTGAAATCAATAAAAATATAATTTTTAAAAAAGAAAAAAGAAACACACATCTCTTCTCCCTCCCCTCCCTGCCCTGAAAATCGGATCAAGGAGGTCTGGGCTGAGGTCCCAAGCAACAGTATTTCTTCAAAGAGCCCATGGGATTCCCAAGTGCATCCAAGTTGAGAACACAGGACCGGATGCTCATGCCATCAGTTTCTCCTATAGGCGTGTCCCACACACTGCCACCCTGCGGGCGAGCTAAGAGCCTCTGGGTGGTAAATGGCCGAGGAGTCCCCCAAGAGCCTGACCTCTGACCCGCTGTCCCTCCCCAGGCATGCCCGGGAAAAACAACAACGTGGCCGCTGCCCTGCGCCAGGCCCCCGGGCAGAATGGCACCAGTTTCCACGGCTGCATCCGCAACCTCTACATCAACAGCGAGCTGCAGGACTTCCGCAAGGTGCCCATGCAAACCGGCATTCTGCCCGGCTGTGAGCCGTGCCACAAGAAGGTGTGCGCCCACGGCACGTGCCAGGCCAGCAGCCAGTCTGGCTTCACCTGCGAGTGTGAGGAAGGATGGACCGGGCCCCTCTGTGACCAGAGGACCAATGACCCCTGTCTTGGAAATAAGTAAGTCCGGGCTCCTTGTTAGTGAAAAATGCATATGGCAATCCTCAAAGCCAACCCTAGGAAAGGGAGGGAAGGAAGAAGGGAGAGAGGGAGGGAGGGAGTCAGCCTCTTAAACTGTCTCCTTCATATTTCCTCCATCCTCCTCTCTGCTCATGCATCATCATTCCTGCCTTCCTCCTCTCTGCAGATGCGTGCATGGCACCTGCCTGCCCATCAACGCCTTCTCCTACAGCTGTAAGTGCCTGGAGGGCCACGGGGGCGTCCTGTGTGACGAAGAGGAGGACCTGTTTAACCCCTGCCAGGCCATCAGGTGTAAGCACGGGAAATGCAGGCTGTCGGGCCTGGGGCAGCCCTACTGCGAGTGCAGCAGCGGATACACCGGGGACAGCTGTGACCGAGGTAAGCTAACCAGCTGGGCACCTCCACGTCTTAGAAAAGCAAGAGGGCCTTGTCTTTGAAAAGAGAGAGAAAGGGAGACAATGGGAGTGAGCCAGAGAGCGGGGAGTGAGAGCAGGAAGGCCAGGACTTCCAGGACTTGTAGTTGCTGCTGCTGATTGATTTCCCAGTGTCATGAAGGCAGCAGACGGGAGCTGTCCTAACCTTCCACATCAAGATTGTACCCGCCTACCTGTCTGCTCCCACGCTGATCTGCTGTGAAAACCCTCCCTTCTGCCTTATGTAGCAGCCCACCTAACTGGACTCCTTTCTTACCTTTATCCGATGTTCTCACCCAAATATATTACCAGTTTGTCTCCTGGCACAAAGAAGGAGCTAATAAAGAGGCTCTAGCTTGAGGATAAAATCACCTCTGACATTAGAATCAGAATGGTTTATCCCAGTGCATTATGCAGGTGCGAGGGATGGGGCGGGGCTGAGGTGCTGGCCCACCTCTCTCCTCCCTCGTGTCTGTGGGACCAGCTCGCCCTGGCCTCCAGCTGGCCCAGATGCTGCTGAGTGTATCAGAGGGACCAGACCAGGGGAACGTGCCCACGGAAGCTCTGAGCAGATGGCTCTTTTTGAACTCGTTCCTACCAGGGTAATTTATGAAGTCCGTGGAATGTTCTTTGTATCAAGTAACAGACTGAATGATGTTAAACCCCAGGTCTAATAAATTAAACCGCATGCTCTCTGAAACGTCTCCCTGCGGTAAACAGATCCAGCTGCTGGGAGTGTAAAAACAGAAGAGGCGCATTTTTGCCATAAAAAAAAAAAGGGTTAGGGACCGAATTTTCTTGTCAGTCCAGTGGCCATAGTAGTTACAGCTCACACTGACAATATTCGCTGAAAATAAAGGCCCCAAAGAAGCATTTTTTTTTTCAAAGAACAGTAGGCCAAGCCACCAGTCCCTATATGTCCTATAACTGACAATAGCAGGAAGGGACAGGAAGGAGAGGCGCCCCCTGCTGGCTCCAGGGCGGATTCGCACTCCCTCTGCATGACTCACAGCTTGTGCTCTGTGTTCTTCCGTAGAAGTCTCCTGCCAAGGGGAGCGGATCCGAGATTATTACCAAAAACAGCAGGGCTACGCCGCTTGCCAGACAACCAAGAAGGTGTCCCGGCTGGAGTGCAGAGGCGGGTGCGCGGGGGGCCAGTGCTGCGGGCCCCTGCGGAGCAAGCGGCGGAAATACTCCTTCGAATGCACTGACGGCTCGTCCTTCGTGGAGGAGGTCGAGAAGGTGGTCAAGTGCGGCTGCAGCAGGTGCGCCTCCTAACCGCCTCCCGGGGCTGCTGTCTTGGCAGATGCTGTCTCCTGCTTGGCCACGCTGGACTCGCGAATGCTTCCTAGTGGAAATATTTGAAATATATTGTAAGATACAGAACAGACTTATTTTTATTATGAGAATAAAGACTTTTTTTTTCTGCATTTGGAAGAGAAAAAAAATAGAAGTGCGTGAACCACAGCTTCCCCGACGCCGGAGAAGTGGGAAGGGCGGTCACCCGGAGGCATTGGAACAGCGATGGGGACGAAGCACATACCCAGGGAGCCAACCGCGAGCCTGAACTTGAACTTGGCCCGAGCACAGGCCCGTGAGCCCGCATCTGAGTCACTGCGGCCCACGGGGACCAAGCACATGTGTGAGTGAGGATGCGAGGCGGAGGGATGGAGCCCAGGAGTCGCAGATAGGACACATGGATGAGAAATATTTTGTGCAAAATTTAGAGGCCCCGGGAGACCTGGGTCCCACTCGTGAGAGACAGGATGGGGGTGCTAACATGTTACCGTGTTTTTATACAGGTCGGCATGCTAGCACAAGAAGCACACAAAAGTGTTTATCGACCGTTTTCCAGTATTAATTTTTTTGTAATATAAACGATAAAGGAGATGATAAAGAACCAATAGATTATTGATAAATAAATTAGTAATATGATTTTTTTTGTTTCTATGAGTTCTAAACAGCCCTATACAGTATTCCGTTTTCATGAGAAATATTTATTGTATCAAAGTACATTGTACTTAACATGTTAGGCCATCCTTTTGCTGTTTCTTGATGCTTTAATATATATTAATTTATAATTGTCCTGATATTTTTGTACATTTTTTCAAACTTAAAAATCAGGATCTTTTTGGCAATAGTACTAACATAGGGTGATATCTGGGGGTAAAGATGTGTTGGTCTGTTGTTTACTTGGACATCTGACCACTGGTGTCACTGACCTACTGGCCTCACTCAGGACACCTGCGGAGCCTTGTAAAGTCTATGAGTGAGACAGTCCTTGTACAGAAAGTGGCCGCTGCAACTGTCCTCACAGAACAGAGAAGGCACGTAGCAATCGACACTAGGAAGTAGATCTGTTACAAATTAATACATCCTTGACCCTTTTGGCCCTTTTGGGGAGTGGAGTGGCAAAAGAAAAGGCTGTAATGACAAGAACTGTGATTTTTTCCCCCAAAAACAATAAAGCTCCTTTATGACCCTAATGTTCCCATGTTAACATGTTTGCTGCTAAATTATAATGTAGAATTGAGAGTGATTTATAGTGGACTGTGCTCTTCCCTCCTCAGAATCCCAGGGTACCCTGTAAAGATGCAGATGTTTCTTTCCAAAAGCTCTTTTTACAAAGACAATTAGATGTACATGTATCATTCGGATGTGCTCTGTCTTTCTCCAGACTAATATCAGTGACACTACTGATGTTTGTAAATTAAACAGATATTTACTGCATTAAAAGCTTGGTGAATTTCTTAGAAATTGCACAGTGTTTAGAGTCCCGGCCCTAAGAATCCCTTAATCATAGTGATTCAGAAAGAACAGAGGAGAGAACCTGTATTTTCTGTTGTCAGAAGTTGGCTTGCAGTTAGCATAGCGTCAAGTCTGGGGACTTGGGAATGACCACATGGAAGAGAGGAGCAGAAGGACACATTCTATGCTAGCAGGAAAAGTGCCTATTCCATTCATTTCTCCCCCAAACAGTATAAGGTGTAACCTAAGGAAAGCACAAATGGTATTTTTTATTTTATTCTTTTTTCCTCAATTGGAACCAGATGGAAAACAATGAAACCAGGACTCCCTTTCTTCCAGGGCACTCTCAGGAGGCGTTAGTAATGGCAAGGCCCATCCAGAACAGGGAAATAGCATCATCCTAAGAGGCTTTCTTGATTTTCCTGTAAAAATATCATGATCACCCACGTACACACACACACACACACACACACACAGTCTCACAGACACAAATTGTTCAAACATGTACCCATTCTTGTTTTAAATGTCTACATTTTAATGATAGAAATACATAGTGATAGTAAAACATTTTTTTAATTTCCATCAGTTGCTTCTCCCCCCCCCCCAAGAGTTGTGTATCATTCATTAAGCAAAGAGCATATAGGATAATGATATGGTTTAGATTTGTGTTCATAGGTATAGGCTATCTTAATAGCTACTGTGTTTTATATGCCAGGCACTATACCAAGGGCTTTCTCTGAGATACCTCATTCAACTCTCACTGCAAACCTATGTACAGGGTTGTCATGCTCCCCACTTTACACAGGCATTAACAGCTCAGAACAGAGAAGCTGAAATCCTGTGTCCATGTGTGAGAGAGGCAGGCAGCAGCTCCGTAACTACACCCCTCCACTAAGGTTCTTTTAACCCTTCGAGCCTCATTTCCAAAGCTCAGTTTTTCTCTCTCTTGATCATGTTGATTTAAGTAATCTAGATGAGAGATATTTGTTTTGTTTTTTAAAGGAAAAACAAGAGAGGTCTTAGTAGTTTCCAAACTGTATTCTTTCCTCTTTCCTGCTTATAAAAGCACAAAATAGAATTATGCTTGCCTGAGATTTGGGCTGAGTTAGCAAGTTTCCTAGGGGATTGTTTGCCCCATGATGGCACTACTTCCTCCACATGAGCCCTTCTTTGAGAAAATTCAATAGCCAAATAATTCCCAGCAAATGAGACAAATTAAAGGCAATAGTTCGTGTTATAAAAGGCTCCTCACTTTGAAAGCCTTGACCATAAGATTACTTTAAGAAGGAAACGAACTATTCTAGAGAATTCCCAGCAGACTGCAACCGTTAAAAAACATTTTGCACATTTCAAAATCAAAGCTACTGCATGGAATAATGTACATTTGTAATTTGCAAAGATGGAGTGATTAAACATCTTTAATGTGTTTACTTTTAAATTCTCACACTAGTGAGGCACCATCAGGAAATGCCATGGATATTTGACATGTGTTCAATTTAAGATATGTTTATTAAATAACTATTTCAATCTTTCAGATTTCCTGAAATTATTTCTAAGCAAGAATAGACTAACCCTGGTTTTAAAATTGCTCTGAGCATTTTTTTTGAAGGCTTGCTTAGTTAGCAGCAATTCTTTCTTGAGAAATGGTTGAAAGAATTTGAAATTGATTCAGGACTTAAAGGTTTTAAGCCTTATGGTATCATCTGCCTCATAGTGTGACCATTATTTCAAAATGAATGTTTGTGAAAATATATAGACTATAAAAAGTATATGAAGCTTTATGTAAAGGATATAAATCTATGTAAATTACATAAGCTATTCATTCTTAATCATGTCTGTGTCCTCCAATTTCATTTAAAAACACATTTTTATTTCCTATCTCCTATCACATGCAAAAAACTATGCTAGACTTTGATACATAGTGTCAGGTAAAGCACACCTCTTCTGCCATTTTATTTATTTTTTTGTTAATCCTCACCTGAGGATATTTGTCCCATTGCTCTTCAGAGAGAGTAGAAGGAAGGGAGGGAGGAAGAGAGGGGGAGAGAGAAAACATTGATGTGAGAGAGACACATTGACTGGTTGCCTCCCACACGCACCCCAACCAGAGGTGGGGAGTGAAACTGCAATGGAGGTACATGCCCTTGACCTGGAATTGAACCCAAGACCCTTGGGTATACAGGCTGATGCTCTAATCACTGAGCAACACTGGCCAGTGCTCTTCTGCCATTTCAGAGCAAACACTCTAAGCAGTTGGAGTAGAGATTAGAGTAGGTAATAGATTTTATACAAATGACCATACTGATATTATTTTCAGATTGTGGTAAGGGCCCTCAACGGAATTATAAGATAGAAAATGGTGTAACAGTGGATTCATATTGAGAGGTCAGGGACTGCCTCTGTGGAGAGGTGACATTTAAGCTGAATCATAAAGGATAAAGTAGGATCTAGGATGGAGGCGGATGTAAGTATATGTAGGGGTCAAGGGTGGGGTCCGTGCAGAGAAAGCAACCTGTGTGCAGGCCTGAGTCGCAAAAGAACTCTGCTGTGGTCCAGGAAACAAAAGAAGTAAGTCTGACCGGAGTGAGGCATATGTGTATTTCATGTGTGGAATACAGTGGCTACTTTCTGCCTTTATAAACTCACTCCATATAGTCCACATTTTTCTTTTGAGCATCTGTTTGCAGTGAACTTTTAAAATGTCAACAAAAAATGGATTTTCATTTTAAAATAGCAACTAGTTAGTTGTGTTTAATGCAGTTCCCCAACTGCCAAATTAAATACCTCTGAAGAAACAGAAAATATAAACCCTTACAATAGCACTAAAAAATAAGAATAATACATCTTGAATTTAGAGGAATTTTCACGAACTCAAAAGCCGATGAGGCTGGATTGAAATAAGTAACTGCTGGCCAACACGTGCTTTGAAACTGAAGTGCATTCCTTTCTCTGGATCCCAAGGCCAGAGGCTCAGGAAGTGGGTCAAAAGGAAAACATCAAATACCTGTGCATTAAGGTGCAGCCGTGTGAGGATATTAGAAAGCTGTGCCTCCAACTGGCAAGGTAAAATCTTTCTTCGTCTACTAGGATGTTCCAGTCTCATCAATGATACCAAAACTGCAAGAAATACTAGGGAAGAGCAATAGTATTTCTCTGAATCTCAAGAGATGTAGTCTATAAATAAACTACTGGAGATGTGGATTGAGCCTAGAAGAGCCACGATAGCAATGCATGCCTAGAATGATGGAAAGAGGGAAGTACTGGGTCAATACAGAAAATCAAAGAACAATTGCATTCTATTGACTCACTATTGAGCTAATGAAATGATTTAAGCAAAAGCATGTGGTGGAAATGATACAGATTATATTTAGGGTGAGGGGCTAAGTAGTTCAGAGTTCCTTGGTTGGCCTATAAGTCTACTAAGATTATCTGAATAGGAGAATGGTTTCTCCAGACCTACAGTATGGAATGTTTAGATGGCTGCAGAATTTAAAATGAATTGATCAGGTGACTATTTCTTAAGTCAAAAAAAGGTAAGGGCCAGGATTGAAAAGGGAAAAATATGGCAAATGAATTTGAAGTGACAACACAGACTGTACTGTGACAGTAGAAGATTTAATAATTCACCATGACATTGGATATGTTTGGCAGGGAAGAAGGGGAAATCAAGTCTGACTCCTTGTTTTGAGCTTGACTATTTGCTTCTGCTTTTCTGATGCACAAGAATTGAAGATTTGGTTGCAGTATGGTGACTGCATAAGGCTGGAAACAGCTGGAGAACCAGAGTTCCTAACCAGGGAAGCCCAGCTTTCTGCCCTCAACCCATCCTCCAACCAACTGTTGAATGAAAAATGATAAATTTATCTAGATCATGTTTTTAATATCTTTAATTAAATATCTTCAACCAACTCTCTGTAGGATAAAAATTCAAACTCTTTAGTATGGTATTCCAAATCCCTCCTAATGCAACCTTCTCAAGCCTTCCATGTGTGCTTTTGGATTGACAAATGATAGGAAAGAATATTTTAAAACAAACTGTGGGAGGAGCTATCTAAAACCATAGATGTAAGATTCACCCACATAGAAGTGGTAGTTGAAGCCAAGAAAATGGGTGAGTTAATTTAAAGACACAATTGAATGAACATGATCAGAGGACTAAGACTCAACTTTAGTTGATGCTCACATTTCTGGAATGGAGTGATCTCAGAATGGAGGTGAAGAAAGAACAATTTGAATAGAGTCATGAAGAAGTAGCTGGATAGTCATGGGTGAGGAATAGAGGTTGTGAGAGAAAACTACCCTCACAAAATGTGTAAAAGCTAAGGAATAGGAGAGTCAGGATAGCAACTGGAAGAGTTGGTGAGGTCACTTGGCTCATTCAGTGAGTCAGTAGAATTGGTTAATCCCCTATAGTCAGAGCCTTGAAGGTATGGGGCAAACACCAGAGGTATGTCCTAGAAGGAATAGAGGAATCTGGAAGAGCAAGGCCAAACTGGGTCATCAATGACATGGGCTAGTGGAACAAAGGGAGACAAAATGTAGGGCCCAGACACAGTGGGGTTGAGGGAAGAGGATGCCGGAGAGTGAGAAGCCACCAGATCACCCCAATGAGGTGAAGGGAATAACATGTAGGCAAGAATTCTTTTCCAAATGGATTTCTCTTTTGCCTTCCTCTTCCTCCCACAAAGGGGAAATGGAGGACCCTTAGGAGTGCTCACTGTGTGCAGAGATATAAAATTCAGCCGAGTGCAGGCATTGCCATCCTGCGTTTGGAAGTAGCTTTGTCTTTGTGTCAATATGTGGGTGGTTGAATTTGGATTCTAAAGAAAATCAAACATTGAAAAAAGCACACATACACACACACAAAAAAAGGGAGTGGAAGAAACTGCCATAGAAAATTGTCTAAAAGTCTTGCCACCATTAATCTTACTCTCCTTCCTTGAAGCGGCTGGAATTATTTTCAGTTTGTTCACACCAACTGTGGCAGA